CTGCCTGCCCCGCCGCCGGCCCGCGGCGCCGCCCGTCGTGCTGGGTAAGAGCCCCCGGCGGGGGACACCGAGCAGCGGCCGGTGCGGAGCCGCGTCCCCGCGTGTCCCGGGCCGGGTGGGAGCGGGTGCGAAAGGCGAAGGATGCGGTTTTGCGTTAGCTAAACTGCCGCAAAGCGCAGGTGTGCGGCGAGCCGCGTTCACTTGTCAATGTACAATAACTTACGGCAAACGTGTGCAATGCACACCGGTTAAAAATTTACATGCTTTTTGTGTTTGTTGGTAAGAAAGAAGAAAGTGAATAAGCGTTGTTTGCATAACTTGCTTACAGAAATAGTAATTCTGAACCATTTCTACTGTGTTTATCAAATGCATTTAGTGGTAGTGCTGATGATCTCGTGACTCTTTCCAGTATGTTATGTGCTCTTGCTGTGCAAATAATGTTGATGCCAAGGGGAGAAAGGGTGAGGATTTTCTTTTTAAAAGAAGGGAGGGATGCTAGGGAAGGAATAATCAGCAGGCTGTTCAGATTAAGCTCCATTCAGATATAATAGTTTGGACTCTGCTGCTGGCCTTATTAATTACTTCTGTTAGAAGCTCCTGATAGAATAGGGCAAACTTTAAACAAGAGACTTTAAAGAGACTGTGTATCTGCCAGGCCACAGTGTACAAGTTCACTGTTCTTAACAGATATACGATCTAAACATCTGAGAGGATGTGAATTTGGCAAAAGAAACTGCCAAAGAAGGTCATAAAGGGCTGGACGTGCAGCGCAACTAAGATGTATGGTTGTCAGTTCAGCCTCTGTGGGTTAGCAGACTGTTTTTATTCCATCTCCCCGTAACAGCAGGTTTCACCAAGAAGTGGTTGGTGCTGAATCCAGCACAAGCTTCTTTGCTGCAAAGGTGCTGCTGCTTTAACTGCTGGTCCAATGTTCAACTCCAGCTATGAAGGAACTGAAGCAGCATAAAGGGAGCATGTATGTTTCCTATGGATGATTTAAAAAGCATGGTTAATTTATGCCTTATTTTTCTATGAGACATTTCAGTGTATGCTGTGAGGCTGAGCACAGTTGGTGGTTATAGCCACAGATCTTTCACTATTAAAATGAATTTTCAGCAACCCGTAACTTGTGTATATTGCTGTCCTGTTAGCTCCTGCAATTTTCATTTGTTGTCTTCTGCTGCACAGTCCTGACTTGTCCAGAAAGTGAAGGTTGCATCTTTACCTCCACCTTCATAAATGATTGTTCTATGTTCTGTGTGTTTGAGAAGGTTGGCCAGCTCTTAGACACTCTGCTGTAACTTACTGTTGTAAAATACCACGTTCTTCAGATCCAGAAGTGATTGTGTCTTTGTAGAAACACCTGCACCAGGAGCTTAGCTTCAATTAGACATGACAGAGCAAGTGAAGGTCAAACAAATAAAGGAGGGGAGAGTAAGGGGTGACTGTCGGTCACTCACTGGGGCTGTATGAAATGTTCTCATCTTAATTCTACTTAACTTCTCAAGGCCTTTTCACTTTTTTTTTTGTATATGTGACATGTTAATGAAGCTTTTAAGGAATCCCTGCATGAAAAATTTCAGAAGAAATTTAGAAGAAAATTTAGAAGAATCATTTAGGGAGGTATCATTTAGGGTATAAGTTTTGGCTTAACATAGAGGGTGCTTGGGAGAGGGAAGAAAAACAGGTGCTGTGCTGGAATCACAAATGCAGACAGAGGTTGGGAGGGTTATATGGGTTATAACAAGCCCAAGATCCAGGCAAAATGAGGATATAGAGCTGATGCTCTTGTTTTATCAGCCTGGTACCTCAGCCCTCATTTTCATTGTATATCCAATTTTAAATAAGTTCTTTTCTGTAGTAACTGTGCTTTCATGGCTAGTGTAGATGTTGTAACTTCTTTCTATTTTGGAGTTTCATATTTTACCTTATGCAAGTTGGTAGTCTGAGCGAATGAAGAAGGAAGGAATGTTGTCCACATAATGATCACTTAAGAAATGTCTTATACCATGATAGTCACAAGGCCTGGAGTAACTTGTTTGCAAACCTTTCTTGTAATGACCTCACTTGCAGTTGCAACCTGTGCTTACCTATGTAATGGGAGGAAATGGAGCACTGGTTTGCAAATATAGGGCCTTGCTTAGAGACGGATAATTTTGTCCTGTTCCCCAGGTACTAACAAAAATATTCCTTTAGGAACCTCTCAAATCAGAGAACAGATGAGCTGCCTGAATGCAACCCTGTAAGTATTGGCCATAAATAGAGAGACTTTCTTCCTTTTCTTGTGGTGGCAACAGATCTCAAGTTTGTAGAGCCCCTCACAAGCTCCAAGTGAAATGTGGTTCCGTGATACAGCTAAGTCAATGTAAGCGTTCACTGCTTTGCTTGTGCCAGCTTTTTTTTTGGTCCACTAAAGCTGGAGGAAATTAACACAATGAGGAATGAATAATTTTGTACTTGAATTAGTTTAATAGAGGATTTGGCCCAAGAAATGGGGACAGTGACACCATTCCATGTGAATTAGAAACTTGCTGAAATTGGTCTGTATCATCAAATAGAGCCTTAGTAGCAGGAGCTATTTTGTCTGCAGATCACGTTTGTACGTACCAAGGGAGTAACACATGAACATATAGAATACTTTGCTTTCACAAAAAAAAAAAGTACTACAATTAGAATTTTCCCTAAGATTGAAATAGAAAAGCAGCAAAAGGTATTTACAGGGCAGTAGTGGAACTACAGTAAAACAAATATGAGGTAGAAGTCATAATTCTACTTCCGAAGTCCTGCTTGAAGTCTTGAAGGAGCAACTCCAAAACAATATTTTTACATTTTACTGGGTACTGTCTCTTGGATATCAAGTGCTTTAGAGGAAGAGGTATTAGTTAAGCTCCAGCATTGCTTTTCCTCTCACAAAATCTTTTAAGAGCTTCCTTTTAAGCCAGAACAATATATTCATAGAGGAAAATAACCTTTAAGAACCAGCATAATCTCCTGAATACCTTTCCTCCGCTGACAGTAGCTATAAAAAAAACTCATGCTGTGTGATTGCTTCCAGACAGCAGTTTTATGCTCATACTCGATTAAAATATTCTTGCACTGCTCTTATCAGTTTGATTATAAGTTCAAAACACTTGTGTCTTACAGGGCTTCAGTGGCAGTTCCTTGTGGCTGTTCTTTCTACTTCGTTTTCTCTGGTCACTACATATTTCCTGATGTCTTATCAATTTGGGGTACTGATAACCTGTCCTTATAAGATCAGCAGTGGATTCACTGAACTCTTTACCTTTTAGAGCTGACTCAACACAATTACTATATCAATGTTCTGATACCTTCTGCAAACAATTTGTTAGGTACTTGGCTAAAGTTTTCTAGAAAGACACCTAAGTGAAGTTTGTTAATAATTGATTTATATGCAAAAGAGGTTTTTCTGTGAATTCATGCTGACTACTAATTGAGGGGTCTGTGTTTGTATGGTCAGTTAACTAGATGTCAGCAGTGATTTAACTGTTCATGCCTCATGTGATCTGAGGTATCTAGAAGTATCATGTGAGATCTTGTTTGCTTTCTTGTTCCTAATTTTAAACACGGGCCTTTTCTGTGGCAGGCAGTTGCTGAGTATATAAGCTGCTTTGAGACATCCTCCTTAGAGAATTCCGTAGCCAGAATTTCAAGTGAATTCCTGGAAAACTTTATTCATTGTCAAGGAAGACTGTTTTATAGAACGAAAAAGGAGATTGATAGTTGATGTGTACCATCTGCTTTTCAGATAAATGTAGAAAAAAAAAAACTTATTTTTTCAGTTATTATATTGAAACTATTTTCTTATTCTTCTTTTTTCCAAATGTTGTAATCTTAAAGGATCATTCCCCCCATTCATTGCTTTTGTTGATCTTCATTTCCTGAGAGGTATTAGCAGAACTTTTAAGGCTGCAAATTGCTTATTGTTTTCTTCTGGGGACTGTCAGTTGGTCATAAAGGCTGTAGTAGTAGAATGATGGGCAGGAGCGTCAAAATATTTTAAAGGTAGTTGTTATAATTTTCACATGTGAAAAAATCTGAAGTGTCTTTAAACATTCTAAAGAAATTTAAAATTGTGCTTTGCTTAAAGTTAAATCTTACAAAAGCAGCACTCAGGAGGAGATCTACTGGTTTTGTCAGGCCAGTTGATGAAAAAGCACCGGAAGATACTGAAATACTAGAACCAAATGGATCTGATTAATGTATCAAAATGGCTTGGAATGACAGTCTCTGTGGAAAGTAAGAATATTGTAAAGCCAATTAAATGATCAAATCTGACAGGAACACCTTTTTTTCTACCCAACACAAAACTCCATTCTCTTTCCAAAAGTCTCAGTTTAGAAGTTGGTTCGTGCATTACACAACGGCAAATTAGTGGCTGGGGTCTGCTGGAGATCTTTGCTTGGAATGCTGATGTATTTTGTAAAAGTTGACTTGCCCTTTTTTTTTTGTGAATTTATAAGGTAAGTTTGCAGGCTTTAAAAATCAGAACCTCTGTTCTGATGTTTCCAACAAAAAGGCTTAGAAACTCTGGATATTGGTAGCTAACAGAATGAAGAGCTAACTTGCAGAGCTAACCCTGGTAGGGTTTTCCATGTATAGTCTGAGAGTGTTATTTCACCTAGTAGGGTTTTCCATGTATAGTCTGAGAGCAAATAGAAATATTTTTTTCTGTCACTTTAAAGTTCCATCATAGAAAATTCAGGAAGCTATTCTTCTTTTCCAGCAGAATTAATATTCAATGCAATTTGCTGAGTATTTTTTTTCCAACCTGTTACTGATCAAAAACCCGCTAGATAGTTTCCCAGCCAAAATGTAAATCATTAACAGTTGGATTGTGTTGGGTTAGGATTGAAGATTCCTGCATGTTGTTTTTCATAATCTTAAACTCTTAATCTGAGAAATTTAATTTTACACATTTTGCTTATAGTTTCATCATGACCCTTATTCAGTTTGCAGAATATACTTTTGCAAATATAATATGGGCTCTGGAGTTTCTGTGATATAAAAATGTTTTAGATGGCTCAGTAAACCTGCAGATCATCTTAATTCTTGCTTTATAAACAAACAGGGATTACACCTGCACATACGAGTCTATTTTTAAACAGCTGTGTTGTATCTTGGAGAGGTGGAAGTTGTCCCTTAGCTTTTGCTTAGAATTTTATGAAATTACCACTTACTCATCTTTTGTTTAATTAACCAATTTGTTCTTTATCACTCCTTGAAACATCAGTATGCCTTTGCTCTGAATTTGACACAGGAACACAGCCTTTTTCCCTCAAAAAACGAGTTTGAAATATTTTCAGTAAATTAAACTTGTAGTTCGTAAGATTATTCTGGTAATTCCAACTGAAAGTTTGTATGATTTACTGGTTTCAGTACTTTTGTCAATAAATGTAGTTTTTTTTTCCTTTGAGTCACTTGGCTACTTTGGTTTGCATTGGGGTGGAAGACAAAATCAGCTTGTTTTGTCCTTAGCAGGTCTGCTACCGAAACTGGCCAGCCATGAGTGATATAAATAGAATTACATTCCGTTCTTTTTATAATGGAGAGCTCTGATAGAGCAGCCAGAAGAGGTATGAGGTTGTTAAACAAGCTGTTGCTTTACACTTCTATAAGCAGTAACTGAACAGCACTTTGCGAGGTTCCAAGACTGAACTCCAGTAAACTTTTTCCAGTGCATGATGCAATACCATAATCTCCCTTACTATGCTTTCCAGGACGTCAGAGACCTTGAAATATGACCTAAAATAAACTGTTTGGAGCTACTGGGTCTTTAAATGTTTTACTTAGGCTTTTAGTGTTTTTATTTCTGTAATATAATGAGAAAGTAGGGGTAGTCAATAAAGAAATCCTGGGATATCACCCTCTGTGGTGGGGCAGCTATGATGAAGGGAGGGTGTAAAAGACTAACTGTCCCAGGCTCTATTTGCTCTAAAGTTGTGTCTTTCTTCAGTTCTGCCATAAATGCTTCTGTGAAAACATATGTGGCTTTCCAGTTAAGTTAGCTGTTCCAGTAAGAGACTGCAATGGCTTTAAGAAAGGAATACTGAGTATTGTGAAGCAGACTTACCTACTGCTCTCTCGTTTCTTCTCCATTCTTCATTTCTCATCCCGCCCTTCAGTTTGCAAAACAAGCTTATGAAGTTCTTTTCTCTGCAATCCTTCAGGTGTTTTTTTCTCAGGGGTTATATCCTAAGATTTTTGTGGTGAAGAAACACATCTGGAGAAAGAACAGTACATGTTTACATGTCAGAAATGGCTTAAGTCTCTGTAAAGTGGAAGCTGATTGAGATTAAATGAAAAATGTTACTGAAAATGAAATGAAAAATTACATACTGAAGTATAAATCACTCTCTAAGCACTGCATAAGAAAATAGAATGAGAATTGCATGAGTGGGATATAGTTTTGCTGAGGGCAGTATCTTAGCCGTCACTAGAGGTTATCTTATATCAAAGTTGAAGAATGCTCAAAGCAAAAACAAAACAAAAACTGCAAACAGGAAATTGTAGGGCAAAAAATGGTTCATGCTGGTAGGACTGGTGTTTTGTAACTAACCTGCATCTGTAACTAACTTTGTTCTGTTTGTGAGCCTTGGGTGCTGCCGTGCACCTGAAGCCTTTGGCTCAGGCAGCGCTGGAGAGACTTCTTTGCTTTTCTGCTTCTTAATTAATTGGAGCACAGAGCTTGCTTTACTGACTGTATGTGGTGACATCCTTGAACACAGCAGAAAGATTTTATTATTATTTTTTTTAATATTGCCCAGATTTGGGAGCAAGCTGGCTTGTATATACAAGCAGGCTCACTACTTGTGTTGGAGCTAGTGTTTAAAAGCAAAAGGAAAAAAATATTCAGCTGGAGATATGATCTGAAGTAAACTTGGCAATGAATGAAGTTAACTTGTACTATATTTTCAGTGAGAAGTATTCTCGAGTGTTCACCAAACTGAGATCAGGCCTATAGCTAAAAACTTCAAGATTAAAGTTTTGACATACAGACGGTGCAGTTGTACACATGCAAAAAAGCTGAGGTGAAAAAAGCTGAAAGCTGTCCAAGAAGATTAAAGTTTTGACATATAGACAGGGTGCAGTTGTACACAAGCAAAAAAGCTGAGGAGGTGAAAAAAGCTGAAAGCTGTCCAACTTATTTTTTTTTTCTAATGATAATGAGCTTTTTTTTTTTTTCCTAATATGGAGAGATTTTTCAGTTACAGAGTTAGATTTGTCTCCCTTGTTTGTGGGAGGAAAAAAAACTGTTAAATGTTGCAAAACTTAGGGAGCTCTTTTACAAACTTATTGCTGAAAATAAGAGTATTTCTTCACTTTAGTTCTACTGTGGAAGGCTGCCTGTTCTCCAGTCTGTCTTTAAAATAAATAAATGACAATGAAGTTCCATGGAAGGAATAGTAGCAACAAGCATATACCCTTAGTAATAGTGCAAATACAAGACCCTTGACTCCATGTATTACTTAGGCAACGCAGGGGCAGGGAGAGTGCCAAGACCAAAACTGTTATTACCCCCAACCTGAATGCACAAGATACCAACCTACACTTGGATAACTGCAATCCAGCTAGATTTTGTGTAAAACTCCATAGTTTGTAGATAAGTCCTTCTGTTCTTTTTAAACATATCTATTCATTTGCAATCGTCTGAAGAAAAAAATCATTATTCGGAAAGATTCAGTTTATGCTTTAGAAGAGAGATAACTCTGATAAGGTGTGAGCCAATCTGTTGTTGATGCTTGTGACCCAATGTGACCTGCTCCTCTGCAGTCTGCTCTTTAAAGGCACTGAAATGTTGCTCTCGCATTATTTATATGGTGCTTCCCCAGCTAATTGCATCTGAAAATCCATCAGGATATGAGGCTACAGGATTACACAATATTTAAACTTATAGAGTAACCTATAATTAAAAATTCGTAATGAATTTCAAGTTAATACATATCTACTTCAATCTCTTTCAGTTCCAGGGGACTTGGGCAATCAGTTAGAAGCCAAACTAGATAAGCCATCAGTAGTGCACTATCTGTGCTCGAAGAAGACAGACAGTTATTTTACGCTGTGGCTGAATTTAGAATTGCTTCTGCCTGTCATCATTGACTGCTGGATTGATAATATCAGGTAAGACCAGAAATACTGCCCTGGCACTTAAGACTGTGATGCTTAGATCAGAATGGCTACCTTAAACTTAACTTTCTTTTTGCAATTCAAGAACAATGAGAGAAATCACACAGAGCTCTTAGAGGCAGAGGCAATGTTAACAAAACAAAACACAGTTTAAGAGCTATTTTTTTTTCCCTTTAATTCTCCCTCAATAATAAAAACTACAATAACTTTTCTATAGTGTGTAAAGTTTAGTGGTGCCTCCTCACAACTCCTTTTTTGCCTCTAAGGTTAGACAGAATCCTGTGGCTTTTTTTTATGACTCTCCGAATGATGACTTTGAACATCCAAGGAAAGCAAAATTAAAATATTAATGGCTTCTATGAGTTTGGTCACCTATACCAAGCAACTGATATTTTGAATACCTGGACCATCTTTGTGTTGCTAGTGCATGAATATGTTCGAACACCGTGCAAATGTGTATGTATCAGCACATAAATTGTAATGGGTATCTTGGTAGACAAGGACTGCGTGGAATCACCTGAATGTTACTTTTATTGTTGTAGCTAGAACTGATAAGCAACAGGGCTCACTATAGGTCTTGGGTAGCCTGCTTAGCAGTACTAAATGTAACTTAGAGCATATATTTATTTAATAAAGATCTCAGTAGTACAGATTGACCTAAATGTTGCAGTTCCCTCCAAACCCAAGCTTTTCCAACAAATGGCCGTTCTTCCACAGTGGGGAATAGGACGTAAGTGAACTTCACCACCGTTGCTCATTTCCATTTTGAACTTCATGTTGCTTCCAAGTAATTTTTGATCCTAGTTTTCTCTTAAGTAATGCTACATTTCCTGAAAATCTCTGCCTGTAATGATAAGCATGTAGGCCCAAGTGTATTTTGTAATGTAAATAGAACACCACAGGGAGGTGTCATTATGGCTATTGTTGTTTTTAATTTTTTTTCCATGAAAGCTTTTAGATTTACTGATTTTTCCACACTAGGCAATCTCTCTCAAAGATAATACTTTATAGCTGTTTTTCCTAATAGCATTATATGTATACAGTAAATATACTCTGTATAGTTCATTAGTAGCATCTTAGTGCTTTTTGCTGAGCAATTAAAGAAAAGTCTTCAATGGAGTAAATCAACTAAGAAAAAAACATGAGCAGTAGTTGAAGCTCTGAAATTTTTGAGTCACTGGAAAACAGAGAGTCTTAAATTAGATGCTAGAAGGTCTGCAGGTTTTTGCGGTGGCAGTGTTTTCTATTTTGTATCTTTGGCAGGGCCTCTGCTTTAGTTCTGTCTTGTTCTTTGCCTCACAGGTTAAGGGAGATTTCTGGTGCACGAAGTGTGAATATCGGTAAAGATTGTGACACTTCAGCTGGGGTGGAGGCTGGCACTCCAGAAAGTGCAGTTGTACTGATATGGTGTTAATAAAGACACAAAAAAATCCCCCCAGGTTCTTTGTATCATAAATAGTTTTTAAAAATATGTACAAAACACTTCATGCCTGTGTGGGGTTTCTTTAGGTACCTAATGTTAATAGTTAAAAAATATGAAGTGCTCCGTTAGATGTGATTTTCTAGCTAGATAAAAATACTTCATTAGTGTTCAGAGGAATTTTACTGATATCTAACTTTACAGTTATTTTATCTGCTCCTGCCACTCCTTCATTCTTGAGTTCTTGGCAAGTTTTCTCAATTTTATGCTTGACTTGAAATGAAATGATGTAGAACTGTATGAAGCTGCACAAAGCAGTTTTATCTTTTTAAAGCTGAAGTCCAGCCACTCTTCTGTATACTCATTTTTACAGAGAAAACAAATCTTAGATTTTGTGTGGACAGAATAAAACTAGAATACTTGTTTGCACCTTATAACCACTTAGCTCCTAGAGTACTCTTGTCGTGTCTGCCTCTTTTCTCCCCTGCCAGGTAATAGCTCTCAAGAGTCTTGTTAGTGCACTTGGAGAATGTGAGACCTGTTTTAGTTGAGAGCTGTCATGTGCTGATATGTCATGATTTGTATCTCTATCCCCCTCAGGCTCGTGTATAATCGAACAAGCAAGATTACAGAGCCACCAGATGGAGTGGATATCAGAGTTCCAGGCTTTGGACAGACATTTTCCTTGGAATTCCTTGACCCAAGCAAAAGGAGTGTTGGTACGTACAGGCTGTGCTCTAGATGGTTGGTTGTTTTAGGCTTTTCTTGTGTGTCTTTCTAAAACAAGCTACTGAAATTAGATTTCAAATTACAGATCTGTTAGAAGAACAGCTACAGTATTTCTTTCAAAGTAGGATAGCGCATGATTCCACTTGGCTTATAAGTGCTTGTGTTATAGACTGTAATTTGGTTTGTCATTTGGCCTGACAGATTGACCCAGGAAGACTTTCTACTACTGAGTCTTATGCCAAATTGAAGTTTTCTGGATAAAACTTTAGTAGGCCTCTTGATAATACTTTTGAAAAATGAAATAGAATGGAAAAATGACTAAAGATGCATTATATTTGGAAAATCAGAAACAAAATTAAAAGTGTTGTTTTGGCTTTGTCTCCAGTAAGGACTTTCCAGGCTGAGGTAATGGGCTTGGGCGATACAGTGCCACGATTTGTAACTGCCTCTCTTATCTGTGTCAGAATAATTACATGCTTACATTTGCACTTTAAAAGACTTCTACGTTAATTGAGTTTGATTGCAGGGTGTTTTTTGCTGGGGTGGAGGGTGTGTTTTGTCTTTTTGGTAGAACTCTTCTTTCGGGAAAGAATGACTCTGGCAGATTGTTGTGAGGAGCTGTAAACTGTGGATGAGGACTTAAGCCATTTAACAGTCAGCAGTGCACCAAGCTTCACTGTAGCTAGGGCCATCTTCCACTGCAAGGATTTTTGGTTTTCTTTTTCTGGGGAGTAATCCCTAAAGATGCAGTAATGATGCCCTTCATGATCTTAGAACTAGATAACTTCTACAACTATAAAGTTAAATAAAATAAAAATAATCATGTGCTGTTAAAGATACCTTATTATGTTTAACAACATAATTAAAAATACAAATACATCTGAGATATTCAGTAGGCTTGTCCGATCTTTTGTCTTCCCGAAATGCTACCAACTGCATTTAACAGTGGTGATACTCGAATCCCACATTTCAAACCTTGTAATGCATTGCTAGCATCTCAACATAAATGCTTGCAATCAGCCTGCAAATACTTCCCTTTGCCATTAAAACATTATGGTCATTCACTTAAGTTTCGATCCACTAAATGATGGATACAGAAATAGTTTCGCAGTGGTTTCCAGAGCTTTGCCCTAGGATACACTGCAAGCATTTTTTTCCAAGCTGGTGAACTCCAGCTTACCGTTTATTGTGTCCTGCTACAAGTTAACTGGCAGGGAACAAAAGCCAAAATTCCTATGGAGGAATTCCTTGGTTTAGTTTGGTTCAAGAGTCAGACAAAGTTTTGCTAAGGAAAATGTATCCCTTCTGTGTATGCTGCATTTGCTGTCATTTGATAAATTGTCCAAGCTGAAACAAGTTTTAATAACAGTAACCATTTGCTTTGGGAGAAAAGCAAACATACTTGTTTTGCCTAATGTGCAGCTTCCCATATTGTCAGAGATTCTTAGATTACACTTAATGCCTGTATATGTGGAATTGAGGTTATGCAACCTGAACTTAATCGTTTTGCCATCATTAGCCTGTCTGATGGACGCCTCTCATGCTAATCTTTTTACTTCCTCTGTTTCTCTCCCATCTGATGTCTCCAGGCAGTTACTTCTACATGCTGGTGCAGAGTTTAGTAGACTGGGGCTACAAGCGGGATGAAGATGTAAGAGGAGCTCCTTATGACTGGCGAAAAGCACCAAGTAATTTGCCTTTTTTTTTTTTCTTCCTTTGGAGATGGGGGGGCAGAGTCTTAAAATTCATATTTAAGATGTGAAGAATTGGAGTAATGTTTGTACCTATGCTTATGTAAGTTTAAGAGGAATAGGAAAAAGTTTGGAATGTGTTGCCTGATATAAGCCTGTTTGCATTGAATAGTTTTTTTTGAAAAAGAGAAAGCAAGTAATGCCTTTGATAAGGTTTTGAAAACTCTGTGTTTATTTTAGATGAGAATGGACACTATTTTGTGGCCCTTCGCAAGATGATAGAATCAATGTATGAACAGTATGGAAGTCCTGTTGTCTTAATTGCCCACAGCATGGGGAATATGTACACCCTCTACTTCCTCAACCATCAATCGCAGGAGTGGAAAGACAAGTACATCAAGGACTACGTGTCATTGGGTGCTCCCTGGGGAGGAGTTGCTAAAACCCTCCGTGTCCTGGCTTCAGGTAGGTAACCTACGGATTTGCATTCGAGCCTCTTAGGAGTAGGGGAGAATAACTGGACTGTTAACTGTGACTGGAAGACGAGAATTTGAGATATTAAAAAATACATATATTTATATCTTCCTAAGTTAGAGCAACTTGGCATTTCAAGCCCTGTGACCAGACTGTCATTCTTTCTGCACATGGGAGTGGACTGTTTTTACATCCCTTAACCAGGAGCCGTCTCCCCTCTTCTGACTCACAACCTCACTGCAGCAGCTTGTGGTGTCACTTGCTGTTTGGCCTAGTGGCTTCGTTTTCTGTCACTTCTGCTGTCAGAGTGCTCTCAGTTCTGTGTTGCACAGCTGACGGACTCCAGCACACTCACCAGTTCCCTTTCATTAAAGAACACAGGGCAGTTTGAGGTGAACATTAAAGGAAACTTGTAGCCAAGGTGGTTAAGTGCTGGTGGCGTCAGAACTCGGCAGCCGAGGAAAGTGAATCTCTGAGATTTTGGCTTAGTATATCAGATATACCTGACTCTAACAGTTAAAATAAAGAAGCGTAATGTATTTCATTTAGTAATTGTTAACAACTGATAGAAAAAGTTCACTTACAACATTAGGAGGTACTGGGATTATTTCATGGCAGAGCAGCAAGTTATTTTGTGCTTTGCTATTTAATACATAATGCCTCTGCTTTTTTTTTTTTTTTTTTATTTGCTTCTAATTTGCTAGCTTTGGATATCATTATTTTCTTCCCAAGCAAAGCTGACATGAAAAGAATTGGATTTCATCGAAATGCAGAGCGCATACCAAGAGCCAGCCAAGTAGGACAGATCAAAAGAATCCTTTGCTTAACAAAGGCATTTGCATCTGAATAGGAAGGCACGATTTGGAGTTACTAATTAGAAAACTTAAATTGGTTATTTGTATTGAATTTTATTTTTTTTATTCATCTGTAAAGGCTCTATAAAAATCCATTTCCCTTTTCCCACAGGCTTCATCTGACCAGTTTGCATGCTACAGAAATGGCAGGAAATGAGCAATTTTAAAATTGCCTCTGTGAAGTGCCACATGACTGCACAGCATTCCATAGTCCCTGGCATTTCTGTTGGGTTAAATTTTCATTCTTCACAGCTTGTTTATCATTAATAATGGACCTCATCCAAAGTGGCTAGCTATACAAATGCATAATAAAGATAGCTAAATTTCTACTAGAATGGAGATATCTCTTAATCTGATTGACTGCTGTATTAAACACCATATTTTACAGCAGCATTAAGTATATCACAGGAGACTTAAACAGAACATAATATCTGAAGGCATGTATTTGTAGTAATATTGTGCTGTAAATATCTGTAATAATTCAAAACCACCAGGCACTAACACTTGAATGGCAATTAGTCTGTCAAAACAAATATAAAAATAAAACTATCAGGTATTAGGATGCAGAAGTTTTGCTTCTGAGAAAAATGCTGCATTGCTCTGGGAAAGGCCATCTGTGAATAAATTCTGTGCTCCCATTACTATGTAAAATACATGAATTGCTAGGAACTCTGTGAAATCGACAGCTGCCTTACCAAAGTGGCAAACGAGACAGAATTCTTGTTCCTCCACCGTTTAAGAAGTTTTCTTTCTTTCTTAAATCAAGTCCCAAAGTCATATTGGGAACACTTCCATGTAGTCCTCTTAATGGCAATGAGGACAGCACTTGAGGATTTTGCTGAACCAACATTGCCACCTTATGGATTTTTGTTGTATATACAAGCTCAATGCTATCTCAAGAACACAGATTTCAGTTTCATTACTGCACTTTTTATGGTGTGATTGACCTAGAGGCATACATCCTGTACTCAACTGGACTTAATACAGGCAAACTTGATTCTAGGTTCAGCTGACAACATTAACATCACTCCTCAGTTCTTTTAGCATCATGATGATGAAAAGCAGGTCTTATCACATAGTCACTGGAAAAGTCAAATCAGATCTGTCTTGGACTTCTCATCTGCTTATTGGAAAAAGTAATGTCCTCTTAATTAATACATAACAGAGATACTGATTTGGCAGCTTCTAGTTTTGTAGAGAAAGGCAAAAGAATGAAGGCTCCAATCTGAAGAAAGCTGCCTACAGCTAGTAATTGAGTCGTGTGAGCTGCCAAGAAATGTGGTGGGTTGTCTTGTTTCTTGATGGGTGCAAAAATCGGAGCCTTTTGAAAAGTGTCTTGGTCAAACACTAGCTCTGTGCTGAGTCTAAATGGGGAAATATAACAGGTTTGTGAGTGACTGTGGATCAGATAAGACAGTTGAAGGATCGGACATATCTAGGATTAGAAATATTATAAAATATACATTTTTTTCCATTTTTCCATTCTTAAGCATTTAGACTAAGTTTACAAATTGTATAAAAAATGCCTAATAAAAGCAATCTTCTCAGCCACTCTAGAGAATATTTTGTGCTTTACAAAGGCTCATTTTGGAAAGGCAACAGTGTTCTTGATTTGTCATTCATTCATCTACATTTTATAATTTGTGTATTAACACCAGTTTGTTCACAAAAGTTAAATACCAAGACAGAATCAATCAAGAAAAGAGTCTTCCCAAAATGTGCCTACAAGCAAAGAGAATGAGTATTTTTTCTCTTGTATTCATTTTATTACTGTGAATGGCACTCGTTGCTGTGGAGTGTATGACAAAGTGAAATATAGTGAAATTCCACCTTTTTTTTCTGAAGGTGACAACAACAGAATCCCTGTCATCAGCTCGCTCAAGATTCGAGATCAGCAGAGATCAGCGGTTTCCACAAACTGGTTGCTCCCCTACAACTACACGTGGCCTCCAGATAAGGTCTTTGTAAGCACGCCTACAGCCAACTACACCCTCCGGGATTATCAGAAATTCTACAGGGACATCAGCTTTGAGGATGGCTGGCTCATGAGACAGGACACGGAGCCCCTGGTCTACCAGATGACACCTCCTGGCGTGCGCCTTCACTGCCTTTATGGTACTGGTGTAGAAACACCCGATTCCTTCCATTACGAGAGCTTTCCTGATAAAGAGCCCAAGATCCTGTACAGTGATGGGGATGGTACAGTCAACTTACAGAGTGCCTTGCAATGTCAAAAATGGGTGGACATGCAGAAGCAGGAGGTGGTGGTATTTGAGCTCTCAGGAAATGAGCATATTCAAATGCTTTCCAATGATACTACTATCACCTATGTGAAAAAGCTGCTTTTTAATTTGTGACACCCTGTGTTGACAGTCATTTTCGTTCACCTTTGATGCCTTTCCTTAAATTAGGGAAAATGCCTTTTGATCCCTTGATATTTAGGTAGCTGAATTATTTATTTGGTCTTTTTTTTTTTTTTTTTTCCTCTTCTGTGTTCAAGAAGTGTTGTTTGGTGACCTAAGTGATAATTTGTCTCAGACTTGTGTTCTTTATGAATTGTGGTATTTTCACATTATGAAAATTTGGTCAAATATATGTTTTGGTACCTCTGGTGTTGTATCCAGTATTCATACACAGCCTTTCATTTGGAAACTCTGCAACCCCTTGTACATATTATATGATTTTCTGCTGTATGGGCTTTGAAGGTTTAGCAGGGGGAGGGCTGGGAAGGATTGCAATTTCAGGTGCCCATGAAACAAGGGAGAAAAAAACCTAAGAATTTGGAAAGCAGAGTAAACGTAGCTTAGTTTGTAAGCGTGCAGATATACTAAGTGTCACAGGCAAAAGATTTGGCACCGTGTTACCTTTTTCACATCCAGTCTTCCAGTTGCTAGAGCTTTTGGGAAAGAGGAAAGATGTGTAAATTATTTGAGATATATATTATTAGGAATCTTTTTTTAAGAAAAAATAGTTTGCTCTTCAAATTCTAGAGTTTGATGATTTATAATCTATAGTGTAAAGACTGGTGACCTTGTGCTTAACTTCTCCATAGGGGAAGGAGTCTAAGCAGTGGAAGGCACTTGTAACAATCAGCAGCACTTCAGTCAAAACTGGCAAACCTTGCATACAGTGCATTATTTCTAGGTGAAATGATCATTAGTGAATTACAGACTTTATTATTATTGTCTCAAGAAGTTGGGATATGCAGTTCCTAAATGTTTAGATACAGCTCTGGTGAATTGCTGCAGTATTGTTTTACTCAGCTTAAAAAGCATTTTAAAACTGAACTCCAGAGAAAGGGCAGCTTAAGTGAGCATGGTATTTACAATCTCAATTACATAAATCATCTTACAGAAATGATTTCACTAAAAGATTGCCTTTTGCTTACTTCAGAATCAGTCACTCAGACTGTTAGTTTCCTAAAAAGCCAGTAAAGCCAGTGTTTTACAAATGCTGGGTCCTCCAACAAAAATTTATTTTAACATGAAAAAGAAATATCAGAAATATTGATGTTGAATTACGTAAGAAATTGACTTTTTTTAAGAAAAAATAGTTTGCTCTTCAAATTCTAGAGTTTGATGATTTATAATCTATAGTGTAAAGACTGGTGACCTTGTGCTTAACTTCTCCATAGGGGAAGGAGTCTAAGCAGTGGAAGGCACTTGTAAAAATCAGCAGCACTTCAGTCAAAACTAATAGAATCAAATACTGGCAAACCTTGCATACAGTGCATTGTTTCTAGGTGAAATGATAATTAGTGAATTACAGACTTTATTGTCTCAAGAAGTTGGGATATGCAGTTCCTAAATGTTTAGATACAGCTCTGGTGAATTGCTGCAGTATTGTTTTACTCAGCTTAAAAAGCATTTTAAAACTGAACTCCAGAGAAAGGGCAGCTGAAGTGAGCATGGTATTTACAATCTCAATTACATAAATCATCTCACAGAAATCATTTCACTAAAAGATTGCCTTTTGCTTACTTCAGAATCAGTCACTCAGACTGTTAGTTTCCTAAAAAGCCAGTAAAGCCAGTGTTTTACAAATGCTGGGTCCTCCAACAAAAATTTATTTTAACATGAAAAAGAAATATCAGAAATATTGATGTTGAATTACGTAAGAAATTGAAGCTGTCTAAAGGATAAATTTTAAAGATTTTTGTAGCACACACAAAATGCTGCCTTTAAGTGTATACATGTTGCGATGACAATACGCTCGAGTTCTTGTTACTACAGAATGCAAACACTTTGGCACAAGATAAGTCTAAGGCTTCAAGTTTTAAATCAGAAATGATTTGTAAATTCAGAGCACCTTAAACCAGAGTTGTGGATAAGCTAAATGTACTCTGAGGTTTTAACTTTTTTTAATGTAGTTTCATTATCCTTGCTTATTACTTTTGGTAAGAGGAAGACTCATTTTTTTTCTGCTTTTCTAAAAGAGAATGTTTATCTCGATGTCCAGGAAACTGCAGCTCCACAGCCATAATTGCCCAGACTTCTTTGGAGTTGGTACTGGGTTGTCCCAAGCTACTTGTAAATGGTAACTGCTGAAATGAAGTAACACACCTAAGTTTTCAGCTGACTGTTCTGTTTGGTTCAGGGCTGCTGGTTGGATGAGCTTCAGACTTGTTGTTCCAAGGCTGCTCAAGGGTAAAGCTCTTCCTGGAGTCTGACTCAGTTTTTGAAGAAATTGCTACATTACTGCTTTAGAGCAGGAAAAAATACAGAAAATAGAATTTTTCAAAGTCTGTATTTTTTGCTGAAGTAGAAAGTTAATATTGAGTTTGATGAGTGGAGATAGCAGCTGTATTGCAGGCCACCAGTGTTGGCATCGAGGGCTGAAATAAGAATATAGGCTAACAGCTCTTAACCTGAGCTGGAAAATGTTTCAGAGCCTCGTTTAGATCCTTACATGTTTAGCCACTGTATTCTTCAGTCTCATACCAACCTCCCTGTAGCAACAAGAAACTCATTCTAGTCACTAAAACTGAACCATTTCCCTCCCCTTTGAAAGGCCCTATTCACTGAAGGTTGTTTCTCTGTATTTGAAAGCAAGAATATTTGGCATTATAGGTATAGCCCTGCTACAGCCACATGCACTTGAGCATTCTGAGCTCTTGTGCAGACAGTGAGGGACAAGCCTGAAGAAACAGGTCCTTCTATAAAGGAATGTGACACTCCCTGAGCAGAAGTAACTCCGGTGCTTGGCCACGCTTCACACATGAAATGTTCAAATTCACTGTCATGTCTTCATCATACCTGAGACATT